TTTTAATAGTTTGTATCAAGAGTCATCCGCACCTCTTGCTACATTCCATACTTACTCTTCCCCCTTTTTCCCCCACAAACGATTCACTTCTCATCCAAACTTTCAAGTCATCTCATCATCACAGATCATTACGTTCATCACTTGGTTTGTAAGGTCAAGATCATAAGAGGGATCATATCAAGTGGTATTAGATGACATGTTAGACGAGTTGCATGGTTCTAACATCTTTTCTAAGATTGATTTAAAGAGTGGTTACCATCAAATTAGAATGAAAGAAGGGGATGAGTGGAAAACCGCATTCAAAACTAAGCATGGTTTATATGAATGGCTGGTTATGCCATTCGGATTATCTAATGCCCCTAGCACTTTTATGCATTTGATGAATCATGTTCTTAGGGCATACATAGGCATCTTTGTGGTTGTTTATTTTGATGACATTCTCGTGTATAGCAAAGTCCTAGAAGAGCATGTAGAACATATTAGGTTAGTTCTTGATTTGCTCAGAAAAGAGAAGCTATACGCTAACCTTAAGAAGTGTACGTTTTGTACTTCTAGTCTTGTTTTTCTCGGTTTTGTAGTGAGCTCAGAGGGAGTCACAGTGGACGAGGAAAAGGTGAAGGCCATCCGTGACTGGCCAAACCCTAAGACCGTGGGAGAAGTGAGAAGTTTCCATGGGTTGGCCGGGTTCTATAGGAGATTTGTGAGGGATTTCAGCACCATAGCAGCTCCACTCACCGAGATCATCAAGAAGGACGTTGGTTTTAAGTGGAAGACGGCTCAAGATGAGGCTTTTCAAAGCCTGAAAGAGAAGCTTACTAACGCCCCTGTCCTTATTTTACCTAAGTTCTTGAAAACTTTTGAGATTGAGTGTGATGCATCAGGGATAGGGATTGTAGCAGTTCTGATGCAAGATAAGCAACCAATAGCTTACTTCAGTGAAAAACTTGGTGGTGCAATGCTCAACTACCCAACGTACGATAAGGAGCTATACGCTTTGGTGAGGGCACTACAAACATGGCAACACCACCTCTGGCCTAAGGAGTTTGTCATTCACATCGACCATGAGTCCTTAAAACATCTCAAAGGTCAGCAAAAGTTAAACAAAAGGCATGCAAGGTGGTTGAGTTTATAGAGACATTTCCATACGTTATAAAGTATAAACAAGGTAAGGAAAACGTGGTGGCTGATGCTTTGTCAAGAAGGTACACATTACTCTCTACTTTAAAAGCTAAGTTGCTAGGATTTGATCAGCTTAAAGAGCTATACAAAGTTGATGCTGAATTTTCAGATATTTTTATTGCTTCCTCTAACTCTCCCTCGGGTAAATTCTTTATACAAGATGGGTTCTTCTTCTTTGAGAACCGTCTTTGTGTACCTAACTGTTCTATGAGGGACTTGTTCATCAGGGAAGCACACAGTGGTGGATTGATGGGGAACTTTGGCATTGCTAAGACCTTAGAGGTGATGAAAGATCACTTTTATTGGCCACATATGAGACGTGACGTTGAGAGAGTGTGCGGAAGGTGCAACACATGCAAACAAGCCAAATCCAAAACACAACATCACGGTTTGTACTCCCTTTTGCCCATACCATCTCACCCGTGCCATGACATATCCATAGACTTTGTTTTAGGCTTGCCTAGAACAAAGACAGGTAAGGATTCTATCTTTGTATTTGTAGATAGGTTCTCTAAGATGTCTCATTTTATTGTATGTCATAAGACTGATGATGCTGTGCACATTGCCAATCTTTTCTTTAAGGAAATAGTTCGCATTCATGGCATGCCTAAGTCCATTGTGTCAGATAGAGACACTAAGTTCCTTAGTTACTTTTGGAAAACCTTGTGGTCTAAACTAGGAACTAAGCTAATGTTTTCTACCACTTGTCATCCGCAAACTGATGGTCAGACTGAGGTTGTAAATAGGACTTTAGGAACATTGTTGAGAGCATTGATTAAAAAGAACCATAAGTCTTGGGAAGATTGTTTACCTCATGTAGAATTTGCATACAACCAAGCCGTGTATTCTGCTTCTAAATACTCACCATTTCAAATTGTTTATGGGTTCAATCCCACCTCTCCTTTGGATTTGATGCCTTTACCTTTGAGTGAAAGGTTGATTATGGATGGAAAGAAAAAGGCTGAGTTAATAAAGCTTATACACTTGGATGCTAAGAAGAACTTGGAAGAGAAGACTAAGCTTTATGCCAAACATGCGAATAAAGGAAAGAGCAAAATGGTTTTTAAAGCTGGTGATCAAGTGTGGGTACATTTGAGAAAGGAACGCTTCCCAGCCGAAAGAAAATCCAAGTTGATGCCAAAGATTGATGGTCCTTTCACCGTCACAAGGAGGATCAATGACAATGCCTATCAGCTTGACCTCCAAGGTAAGTATTCTATAAGCTCCAGTTTTAATGTTACTGATTTAATTCCCTATGTTGCAGATGAGTTGGATTTGAGGTCAAATCCTTTTCAAGAAGGAGGGGATGATATGATCATGGAAGACATTGGAGAGCTTGCAGCCGAGGAGGAACAAGATCTAAACAAACACGTAGCTGATGACGTTCTGGAGGTTCATGAAAGTCCCATGACCCATTCAAAGGCTAAGGCATTTGATAATGCCTTAGAAGTATTGCTTAGTTAGTCCATTCATGAAGCACATGATAATAAAAAGGCTATACATACTGCTTTGGTATGCATTATAGCCAATGACTAGTTAAGGGGTTTGTAGAAGCATTTTGTGCTTTTTTTCCCTTAGTGAGTTTTGTCCCATTGTGTTTTCTCACTAAAGTTTTTAACGAGGTATTGCTTAGTGAGTTGATAATGCCTTAGAAGTATTGCTTAGTCAGTCCATTCATGAAGCACATGATAATAAAAAGGCTATACATACTGCTTTGGTATGCATTATAGCCAATGACTAGTTAAGGGTTTTGTAGAAGCATTTTGTGCTCTTTTTCCCTTAGTGAGTTTTGTCCCATTGTGTTTTCTCACTAAAGTTTTTAACGAGGCAAGTGTTTCTACAACATCATTGCCCATTAACTTGTCATTTGTCCAAGCCCACTTCTTTCTACCATCCGCGGCTTGGAGTGTCTAGATTCATTTCTATCCTTAGTTGTTTATTTGGTCTTGTATTTTGTGTAAGTTTGAACCGAGTCATGCATGGTTAGTCAAGGAAGTTTGTCCCAAGACTAACTTAATGCTTTCTTGTTGTCCGTTCTCCTTCTTTCTCCTTAAAACCATGTGTGTAGATTAGTTTGGTTTTCATCTATCTTTTTAATAAAAATTCTCTTTGAAAGTAGATCAACCTCTCTTGGTGTGTAATATCCACGAGAAATCCTGCTTAGAATCATAAGTGTGTCATATCCTTTGTGTTCTAACAGTTTGTATCAAGAGTCATCCGCACCTCTTGCTACATTCCATACTCACTCTCCCCCCTTTTTCCCCCACAAACGACTCACTTCTCATCCAAACTTTCAAGTCATCTCATCATCACGGATCAATACGTTCATCACTTAGTTTGTAAGATCAAGATCATAAGAGGGATCATATCATTATGTCAAACGAAAACTATTATATAAAATTAATATGTAGTATAATATATAGTATAATATAGTAGAAGACTATATTCAACAATTTATTGTAGGATATAGTTAGTTTACAAATTATCCAAATAGCATAGCTAGTCTTGTATTCTTTTGTTATTATAGTTATACAATAAAATAGCCCTAAGTAATATTTAATAATAAACCAATGTATATGAAGATTACAATCTATGTTAAAATAATAATTAATTCATCAATATTATAAAATAAATAAATATGTAAGTAGTAAAATTATTATAAATAAAAATAATTAATATTTGATTATAAAACTATCAAAATTTGAAAATATGTAATGACTTTTAAATTGAAAAGGTATTATTTTTTATGAATAGATTGATTTTGTTTTGAATTTATTTTTACAGGTTTTAAAATAACTGATTATAAATTCGCGTATACAGTGATCTTAATCTAATATATATATATATATATATATATCTTTTACAAAGATGAAAGATCTTCCATATATATTTATATAATATTTATTTTCCACTGTTTGATGAAAAATCTAAAATTTCTCTATGTTAATGCTGAAAATATTTATTGAAAATTATAACATAATCATTTTTAGTTATATATAAATATTTATGTTTTTGTCAACTATATAATTATTATTGTAATATTTAGAAACTTTAAAAATAATTTTAGTAATTAAAAAAATCATATAAACTAAAATTTGAGTGTATTTGTTTCTCTCTAACAGTTTCTTAGCTGGCTTGCATTTATTGTTTGTTTCTTTGTCATTTTCGTTTAGTTGTTTGTAGATTTTGATTTTTCTGTTTTCTTTGTTGTATTCATGTAATGCTGTCAAAAGTTTAAAATAGTATAAAATTTAAAATTTTACTCAAAAAAAATTTGAGTTTAATAATAAAACAAGAAAAAATTAGTTTGACTCAGTGAACTATGAGTAAAACGAGAGGAAAATAAGTTGTCTGAGTCAGCAGACATCACTCGATGCCTATATATATCTGCCGTAAGTTTGTATATTTTTTGGCCGTAATTGGTGACCATAAAAAATAAAAAAAATATTAAATTTTTTATTATTTCTTAAAAATTACACTATTTAAAAGAAATATATTGTATCCATCATTATTTCTCATTTTTTATGTTTTAAAAAATTATAATATTAATATATTCTTTATCAAAAATGAGAATGAACAATTATTCCTATTATTTTGTTGCTTAGTTTTATGCTCACCGCCTTCCTTCCTTCACTCTCTCTTTTTTCTGTCAATTTTGCGGTCATGCGTGATTCGGTCTTCCGACGTTTTGTTGTGTCTGACTACGAAACTGCCGAAATTGATTTAGACCGGTGCACATTTCATCAAATTTTGGTCCGTTTTTACCGTTGAAACCCTAATTTTCGAGTATTGCGGGAGGATGACGACGACAATGGTGAAAGGGACAAAGAGAAAGATTGAAATCAAGATACGCGAGACAAAGGAGCAACGATCGGTGGCTTTCTCTAAACGCTCTTCTCCAAAGCCGCCGATCTCTGCCTTCTATCATCGCCGTCCTGGTAACCTCTCTGGCCGAAAATTCCGACGTTGTTTTCTCCTTCTCCGGCTACTCTTCCGCCTCCGAAATTGCCTATTGCTACCTTAACGGCGGCAAGTTTCATCCTCCAAAGGTTAACCCCCAATCCAAATTAGGGTTTGGGTGGGAAGACCCGAATCTTTACCATTCTTGTGACGAAGTGGGCGAATCAAGCGGATCTTTATCGCAATTTGTTTCCGATCAAAACCCTAACTCTTGGTCTCCATCGCCTGCACAATTTGCTTCTTCTTCTGATCAAACACAAACAGAGACACAGGTGAGAAAGGAGACCAAACCATCTTGTTCGTCTGCTGTGTACAAGAGACGAGAGGCGACGCTGGTCAAGAAATCTTACGAACTCTCCACGCTATGTGGTATCGATGTCTGCATCATATGTTACGATCGTGAAGGGGAACTCATCAAGACATGGCCCGAGGATAGAGACATGTCCGAGCGATTCAGCAGATTAAGCGACAAGGAAAAGAAGAAGAAAAGCGTCGACCTTTCTCGGTTCCTAAATAAGATGGCATCAAACGACAAGAAAGTGTCGGAGGCTTCCTTGGAATGCCGTGTAGGGATGTTCAATTGTTGAGGATCAGACGAATGTGGTTTCAAAAATGATCAATGTCGGTGGGTATGAGGATCAGAGCTTTTGGGATAATCTCTACAACGAAGATGCGTTTGGACTTAACAACAACTTTCAGGCGAACACAACCACCGACGATTACATGATCGATGGTACGTTCACTCAGTTGCCCAACTCTGCTCATCCAAGTTTTGACTATAATCAAGACTGTGGTAATGATTCTTACATGGATTTATTGTTATTACCTGCGGAGGAAGAAATGAGAAGCTGGATCGATGATGATCTCTTAGATACTTTGCTGCAATAACTGATTCATGTTTGATTGGGTCAGCAATTGTTTTTAATCGTCTTTGTCTTGTTTGCTCGTATTAACTTCTAATTTTGTAATTGTCATTTTTCAACTGAGCCTCCCTAAATGTTAATATATGAGACGTTCTATACATTCTTTTAGCTCTTTTGTTTCTTTTCCATATTTCTTAAATTTGAGTGAAAAGTTATATACAATGAGAGACAAATATTTTTTCAAAGTGTTTTCTTGTCTCTAATCGGTAATTTTGGGTGGAAAACAATGGTTTCAGGTTGAGATGATTATAAGATTGAGAGACCAAATTCATTTTCTAGATAAACATTCATAGAAGAAGTGGTAATGGATTCGTTAGCTTTTAATTTAGTAGTTCACGAGGCGTAATATATATATGCAGATCGGGTGTTCGACTAAATGTCTGAACGAGTCTTATTTGCAATGTGGGTTTTGTTATTTCTAGTCAGCCTTTTTGCTTCTTGTGGCTTTTACAAACTCAAAGAAAAGAGAAATGTTTTGGGAAGTATATATATCATTCTAAATTCTACTGATTTCTTGATATGATGGTAGTTTTCTTCACAAGTGCCTTTATCTTTAGATTTCAGGAAAAACGAAGAAAACCTACACTTAGGCTCACGTGTCTGCTGTTCGTATAAATACTATGGGCCTGTTCTTCTGGAATTGGCCACAAAGGTGAGCATGTCATCTGTCATGGGTTTTTCAACAAATTTTGTGTTTAATCGTTTTCCAGATAATGACCAGTGGAATAGTAAGCCGTGATCAAGTTGCAGTGAAACGCATACTTTCTCTGCTTTCTTCAACGAATTATATTATCCTTCCTTTACTGAATGGGTCACACGTAAATTTATTTGGCTCTCACTGAGTAGACTTGTTCGTTCAAGGTAGATCAAGATCAGGCTTCTTGCTGGACATGCCTGGCTTAAGTGTTTTATATCCACATTCTTGAGAAAACAACACTACGGGGCTACAGTTATAGGTGAGGTGCCAGTAGAATTTGAAGCGCTATTGCCATTGTTTTAGGTGAGGTGTTCAGACATGCTCGGTAGGTACAGTTATGTTTGCTTATGTCAGAACCTCAAAACAAGTGTGAGTTAACACTTAATAGTACTATTTTCTCTCTTTAGCTGAACACTTGTATCTTCTGATAAGATCTCTGACTTGCTGCAGCAGTGCTCGTTCTTAGATGAAATCCCGCCACATACTATGTCGAGAAGGCTACAGCCTTGTCTGCACGAGGCAAGCTTTGGTCCTGGATACAATTCCTGTGAATCATAGTGTAAAGGACATCGCATGCTTTACACTAGAGGTTGAAGATTTTTCACCAGTGGCTTCCTTAGCATAAATCTCTGCCAAAAACTATTGCAGGTAGGTCCACTTCGAATATTTGATTTGCTTTGAGTTTCTTCTCATGCCATTCTATTGTAGTTTTTTGTGCTGATCTACTCGACACCACGTTTTCCTTTTTGTTCTCACTGGTCTCTGCTTTACTGATGTCCAAGCGCAGCGGAAGCGTGGTGGGGCCATAACCCACAGGTCCCAGGATCGAAATCTGGTTCTGCTATCAAATTGAAACGCCCAAATTCGGATATCCGAACTGCAGTAAGAATTTAACTGCAGAATAAGAAGTTATCCAAAAAAATCTAAGTTAAAAGACGTTTCTCAGCGATATCCGTCCCTTTAACCCAATCCACAGCATGTTAGTCAATTTCTCGAGTGCCAATAACTGTTTCTGCATTTTTTACTCGATACATTTGTCTTAGCCGAATCAGATAATCGTTCCTATTCTTTAATCGGCTATTTTAGCTTGGTTTACTGAAATAGCTGGTCTGATTAAAGTTTATCCGAGCAGTTCTCTCGGATATAATCTGTAACCGTTTCTGTCTAACTTATCTGAGCCTTTCCAAAATTTCCCTCGGATATAACTGCTTCCACTTCAGTGATTTATTAACTTATCGAATATAAAATTATCATATCTGATAATTTCACTAAGTCTCTCGATCACTCCAGCTTAGCTCGGACAAGAATAACCGTCCTGTCTGAATCTCGACCAAAGGTCCGAGAAGCACGTTTTGTCCAAAGCTTCTTTGTCCGAATCCCATTTTCACTCGGACATAATCAGCTCAGCTCAATCCCAACTCGGACTTCAGTTAATTGACCTGTCGGATATCTGACCAACTGTCTGAATTTCGCAGATTGTCGGATTTTCACGTGTTCAAACCATTTCTTTTCGGCTAAACACTTGAATCAGCTGAACTGATCCGATCCCGCTCGTTTTAGCTCGGCTATCCTTAGTTTTTCCTCGACAATTCCTCATTTTCATCCGATAGCCCAATCTTTGCTCAAAAAGCTTTAAAGATTTTCCTACTCATGGTCATAATCCGACTTCATCAGTTTGATCCAAAGATCACGGGTGTTACAACTCTCCCCCCTTAGCTTAGACTCGTCCTCGAGTCTTCTTAGGTCCACTTAATTCTGGATTTTCCTTAAGTTTATCGAACCACTTAGGAAATTCTGCTTTCATTCTTGCCTCTGGTTCCCAGGTCACTTCTTCTTCACCATCACAAACAACCTGAATCATCTGAACTTTCTTTCTACGTTTTGCCTTAAATCTCCCTCCCACAATTCGGACTGGTCTCCCTTCAATAGTCATGTTTTCCTTTAAATCCGAAGGTGGTTTAAGCATTACATTATCACAGTCACTTATGCATTTTCTTAGTATAGAGACATAGAAGACTTTGTGAAACTGTTCCATGGACGGTGGCAATTCCAATCTATAAGCCACTGGTCTGATCCTTTCTAGGATCTGATATGGTCCCATGTACCTCAGACTTAGCTTTCCATTCAGTGAAGCTCGGTACTTTCCTTTGTATGTGACAGTCTTGAGATAAACCATGTCACCCACTGCAAACTCTAACTCTTCTGTCTGTTCTGAGACTCTTTCATCTTAAGCTTCAGTACTCGGATTCTTTCAGTTGTCTCTTCAACAAAGTCCTGGCCGAATATACTGCGTTCTCCCACTTGAGTTCAACATAAGAAAGTCCTGCAATGCCGGCCATACAAAGCCTCATAAGGCGACATCCCGATGCTAGCTTGGTAGCTATTGTTATAAGAGAATTCGGTCAAATGCAGATAATGTTCCCATTTACCGCCCCAATCCAGGATACAAACTCGTAGCAAGTCCTCAAGTATCCGGATAGTTCTCTCAGACTGTCCATCAGTCTGCAGATGGTAAGCCGTACTCATGTATAACTTAGTTCCCATCGCCTTATGCAAGGCTCTCCAGAAAGCCGAAGTAATCTTGGAGTCTCTGTCGGATACAATACTAGCCGGCACTCCATGTAACCGAACTATCTCCTCAACATATCTCTTGGCTAGAACCGCAGCATTATCCATCTTGTTAATCGCCAAAAGTGTGCTGACTTAGTCAATCTGTCGACTATAACCCATACTGCATCCTTCTTATCCACGGTAACCCAATCACGAAGTCCATCGTGATCATGTGCCACTTCCACTCGGGAATCGGTAAACTTTGCAGCAATCCACTTGGAACTTGATGCTCGGCTTTGACCATCTGACAAGTCGAACATCCGGCTACCCACTTAGCCACATCGCGCTTCATCCCAACCCACTGATAATACCGCCTTAGGTCACGATACATCTTAGTCGTCCCAGTGTGAATCGAAAATCTCGACTGGTGTGTTTTCTTAAGGATTTTCTCTCGGAGTTTCTGATCATTCGGAACATACACTCAGCCATTCACCATTATAGTCCCATTGTTCGAAGTCTGGTACTCGGTCTGATCGTTCTTTGCTGTCTTAACCAAATTTTTGTCTAACTCCTGAGCCAACCGAACCCTAGTTAGCAAGTCTGCCTGATCCGCAGCACCAAGACCCAACGGTTCCAAATCGCCGGTCAAGGCATTCAAGTGTAAAGTGCCAACCATGTTGACTAACTCTTCCATATCCTTCTCTGAATCCACGGCTACTCTCTTTCTGCTCAAAGCATCAGCCACTAGATTAGCCTTTCCCGGATGGTAAGTTATATCCAAGTCAAAGTCCGCAACCGTTTTCATCCATCTCCTCTGTCTCATATTCAACTTTGGCTGAGTGAAAATGTACTTCAAGCTCTTATGATCCGTGAAGATTTGGACTTTCTCTCCATATAAGTAAGCCCGCCAAATCTTCAAAGCAAAAACTACAGCCGTCATTTCTAAGTCATGTGTCGGGTAGTTCTGCTCATGTTTCCTCAACTGCCGTGATGCATAAGCAATCACACTTCCAAGTTGCATCAGAACACAGCCCAGTCCGGTCTTTGATGCATCTGTATAAACAACATAAGGCTCACTGGATTTTGGTAGAGCCAGGACCGGAGTACTCGTAAGCATTTCTTTAAGCTTAGAGAAACTCTTCTCACAGTCTGCTGACCATGTAAACGCAACATACTTTCCAGTCAGCCGAGTCATGGGTTGCTCCATGCTCGCAAATCCCTTAACAAATCTCCGATAGTAGCTAGCCAAGCCGAGAAAACTTCTTATCTCAGATGCATTCTTGGGTCTCGGCCATTGTGCTATAGCCTTGATCTTTTTCGGATCAACATACACCCCTTTGTCCGAGACCACATGACCCAAGAAACCAATATCACTCTGCCAAAGCCTGCACTTACTAAGCTTGGCGAATAGCTTATGCTCCCTTTGTCTAGCCATGATCGTGGCCAGATGTTTTGTATGCTCCTCCGGATTCTTGGAATAAACCAGGATATCATCTATGAGGATGATGACGAACTCATCCAGACAGTCCCAGAACACGTTGTTCATCAGTTTCATAAATGCAGCCGGTACATTAGTTAAGCCGAAGGGCATCACCACAAACTCATAGTGCCTTTCCCTTGTCCGAAAGGCTGTCTTCCGAACATCTGTCTCGGCTATTGTGATCTGATGATAACCCGAAGCCAAATCTATATTGGAGAACACAGTAGCACCTCAGAGTTGGTTCAACAACTCGTCTATCCTTGGGAGAGGGTACTTGTTCTTCACTGTCACTCGGTTTAATCCACGGTAATCGATGCATAGCCGGAAGTTACCATCATTCTTTTTAACGAACAAGACCGGTGCACCCCATGGTGAACCGCTAGGCCACACAAACACTTTCTTTGTCAGCTCATCCAACTGTTTCTTTAACTCAACCATCTCAGCAGGAATCATCCGATACGGTGTCTTAGATATAGGGGCTGTCCCAGGCTCCAGTTCGATAGTGAATGGATCAGACCGTCCCGGAGGTAATCCACCCAATGCTTGGAATACATTTCTGAACTCACTTACAACGGGGATCTCATTAAGTTGCGTATTCGGACCAACTTCCACAGTGTTGATCGTAGCCAAGTAAGCTTTGCAGCCTTTCTCCATCAGTTTCTATGCTTGAATTACCGAGACAATCAAGGTGCCATCCGTCGATCGGATACCCTGATACACCAGCTTTCCCTTATCCGTTTCAAACTGAACTATGCCTCGATGACAGTCTACATGTGCCTTATGCTTCCCGAGCCAATCCATGCCAAGGATCACATCATATGACTTCACACTACAGATCACCAAGTCAGCCGACATGTTTACCTCTCCGATCACCACATAGACGTCTCGGATATTCCCCGGGTAAACATCATTTGACCACCGGCTGCGTGCACTAAGCCAAAGTCATCACCGGGTTCCCTCAGAAACTCACCTGATCCAACCATATCCGGGTGAACAAAGCAATGCGATGCTCCGAAGTCAAACAATACATGGGTTGCCACCCTACCCATGATTAAGGTCCCTACACATTATCCGAATGCTAAAAACCTAGACTAGCAAGCAACAAGCATTTTCACCGAGAAAATACTAAAGTAAGGGTTAAGGCTTACCAGTGATCAGACGAGAAGTGCTTCCCTCGGGAGTGTCCTCTCCAATGGCGTATACCCACGGCATTATAGCCTGCCTCTTTGCCTACGGATACTGTCCTTTACTTGCTCGCTTTCTAGCTTGCTGCTGCACTAGCTTCGGACACTTGTCCTTGAAATGTCCGGTTTCCCCACAGTTGTAGCAAACGCTTTGTCCTGCCCCCTGTTCCGGTTTAAGTAGCTTTTGATCCGGTTCAAGACAATCGCGAATCATGTGGCCCAGACTGCCACAACGGTGATAAGCTCCCGAGGCTCTCCTATACTGTCTGTCATGCATCTTTCCGCATATTGGACACACCCTTCGTCCGACAGCTGATCTACCCAAAGGTGCACTTCTCACAAGCATCGTCGGATAAACCATGTCACCCAATGCACCTTCGGGTAGATCAGCTGTCGGACGAAGGGTGTGTCTAATATGCGGAAAGATGCATGACAGACAATGTAGGAGAGCCTCGGGAGCTTGTCACCGTTGTGGCAGTCTGGGCCACATGATTCGCGATTATCCTGAACCGGATCAAAGGCTACTGAAACTGGAGCAGGGGGCAGGACAAAGGGTTTGCTACAACTGTGGGGAAATCAGACATTTCAAGGACAAGTGTCCGAAGCTAGTGCAGCAACAAGCTGAAAAGCGGGCAAGTGAAGGACAGTATCCGTAGGCAAAGAGGCAGACTATAATGCCGCGGGTATACTCCATTGGAGAGGACACTGTCGAGGGAAGCACTTCTCGTCCGATCACTGGTAAGTCTTAACGCTTACCTTAGTATTTTCTCGGTGAAAATGCTTGTTGCTTGCTAGTCTAGGTTCTTAGTATTCGGATAATGTGTAGGGACGTTA